AGCGGTTCGCACGTGCACCGCTCTCCCCAGCAGAGAGTGCTCCGCTTGTCCTGTCTCCAGGAATTTCTCAGCTCACAGGTATGACCAAAACCAAAAGACCTAAAATAGCTCGAACGCGACAGCAGCTTTAGAATCAAAGCGACTACATTTTGCCTTGTGCTGTTACACATCGTCTTCCTTGAGCTTGCTCAACCTGTTCCGACTGCAGCACCGCACGCACGCCGACCTCACTGACACACGAGACCGCTCCTTTGCTGCAGACGCTGGGGCAGGGTGCTCTTTGCTTCCTGTACCTCTGTGTGTTTCACTGAGTAACAGAAGCAGGAAACCTACAGGCAAAGGAAGGAGAAGCCTCAAAGTGCTCTTAGAAAAGTAATAGTGTTTGTCTGTGAGGGCAGAAGCGTTCAGGCCCAAGTTCCTACCTATCAAGGAAGGAGTCAGTGCTGAGCACCCAGCCAGAAAAAGCAGGTGGAAAAGCCACCCAGACTGATGAAACGCTCCGGACCAAGTTCAACACCTTCCTAGAACAAGACCGACTTTCAGTCGAATCCTGGAAAGTACGAGGAGCCTGAGGCCTGGATTAGCCGCTTGAATTGAGGCGGCAAACGTGGTATCTCGCCGCCTGGATTCTGCTTAGCCTGATCTTGCGATTACAAACTCAAAATTCTGGTACAAAAATGGCCCTTCTGTGTGTTGGGCCTGTCAGCAAAGCAGACACCTACAACAAAGGGCGGGAACCGGCAGAGGCAGCAAGAGGCGCGGTGCAGCTGCTGCAGGCAGAGAAAGCAGGGTGAGCAGACGGGAGTGGAGGCTGTCAAACGTACAGATGTGAAAAAGCAGCAGCTCACTGGTCAGAAACAATGCGTGTAAGGATGAGACTGCAAGATGCGAGGCGAGAGGAAAGGTACCACATGTCAGAGAGACCTAAGGAACGGGGCTGATCTTTCAGGTGACCAAGAAAGAAGTGGCTTTCCTGGCTAAACGAGAATGGGTAAATAGGCTACAGCTCAGGAACTGCTACACCTCACTGAGGCAAGGCGAGCAAAGGCCGTCAGAAGAGAGGAACGAATGCAGGCTGACAACAAAAACGAAGATTCCCCCAAATGGGGCTTAATCTCAGCAACAGCTGTGAGAAACCAAAAAGAGAAAAGGTGACTAGGGCACAACCGCACCCCCTCACACGCACACCAGTGGCTTCAGAAGGGTGAATATTGACCCTAGGGGCCAGTGAAGCTTGGGAAGAACAGTTATCTCCACACTGCAGAAGAGCTTGCTCGCTGCGTCGGTGGGAGAGGAACTGGCCAGAGAGGCTGCGAGCCCGGCCACTTGCTGAGCTGTGCGCATCAGTACACCTAACAGCCTCGAGGTCCTGTCTTTGGTGCTCCTGCTTCTGCTCGTTCCTTCCCCTGAGCAGTGCGAATGCCACAAGCGCCCAGAAGGAAAAGGATCCCGGAGCCGCGGTCACTGCAGAAGCAGCCTAGGCACCTCGGAGGAGAGCATTTCAGTCACACCTCTCAACACACCAGTGCCACCCAGCTGAGCCTGCCAGCACCAACATGACAGTCACACAAAGCACAAGGCGCTGGGACACTTTTTTGTCCCACCAAACAATACTTAGAACCTACCCAGAAACAGGATAAAGCACAGGCTGTCAAAAGCCATTGGTTGTGGTGGAGGGAAATAATAAAAGAGCACCTCAAGCTCTGGGAAAAGTCAGTCAGCTCAGAGCCAGCACAGCTGACCCAAGCTGAAGGCATTACTCCTGCTTTTGGGAGTAAACAGCAGGGAATACGCTCTCTCGCTGTTAAGAGAGCTGCTCCAGAACACTGCTACTCACCAGGTCAATGAGTTTGGTGACGGGCACTTCTCGGATCGGTCGCCTCATTCGGCACAGGGCCTCCAGGGAGGTGCCAAAGCAGCTGGGCAGGTAGGTCCCACTGATGGTAAGGAAATAGTCCTTCCCTCGGTCCAAGTGAAGGACAAGAATATCCTCAATTTTATCCTCACCAGAGTTCAGAAGGGTTACCGAGTCCTTACTGACGTACACGTCCAGGGAGATGTCCGTGCTCTCATCTGCAACAGACAGGAGCTCTCAAGAACATGCAGACATTCTCCACAAGGGATGACAAGGACAAACATACAGCATCAGGAAAAAAGGCCACAAAACCGAGAAGACAAACAAACAGGGATGATGGCAAGGAAGGTGAGACACAGGAAAGACAGGAAGGACTGAACAGAGAGGGGGCAGCGGTCTACACCAGCACACACTGTAGAAACCGTGGTAAAACTCACCTGGCTCCAAGTAACCTTCACAGGGCTCAGCCCGAAGCCATGGCTTACAGTAGTGGCTATCGTTGAGCTTTGGGATGAAGGAGAAGTGACAGGTGACCTGCCCATTATTGGTGATCTGGAACTTCTGCTTCTGCAGCTGGCGGAACTTCACGTTCTCAAACTCAAACTGCAGAGGAAAGAGAAAACACAGATCCCATCAGTGGCCACGATGGGACGCACGGGCAGGCACCCTTACTCTGCAGCAGCAACCCACGACCAAGATGTGCCCACACAATGCAGAACTCCTAACAGAAGACCTGCCAGAAGCCGAGACAAGATGTCCCTTCTAATCCAATTCCCGATCGTAAGGTCACGCACAAAGTTCAATTTCCTATAATCCAGTCTACCGAACCAAAGTCTTTAAAAGCAGTACTAGCACTTCTAAGGCTGCTGTGTTTGGGAAGCGGACAGTGACTCGGGTTTCATCCTCACTTCTCTCCTGCTTAGCTCCAGTGAAGGAAGGAAGTCATTCTCCATCCTGTCCATCAGACGAACGATGTCTTCAAACAACTTCCGATACTTCTGCTCATCCACCACCTTTACCTGTGGAAGATCAGAAAACACTCAGCAAAGCTTCTGACCGGCTTCACAGGAACTCTTTAATCACGAGTAAACTGCAGAAGTGAAATGTTTCTCTACGCACTTGCTACATGCAGCTGAAAGGCTAAGAGAATTTGCACGCACGGGTGCGCCTCCAAGCTGCATACGCAACTTTATGCATATCTTACCCCTACAGATGCTACTCGGGTCTTTCTGGCCACCAGTCACACTACTGGGAGGTTACTGGGGGTGATCTCCGTGGGGCAGCATTGGCATCCCGCAGCACTACTCACGATTCTCCAGAGGAACAGGAGAAAGGCTCTCCTTTCTGGAGACCTGAGCTACCTCGGGCGCGGGAGGTAGCAAAAACGGGCACGGGCTGTCTCTACTCAGCAAACTAGGAAACCGAAATCTGCTGCCAGCCATTCACCACCAAAGAAATTCAGATGTGAACGAGTGACACACTCTCTTTAACACACCAGAGGCAACATTGCAACAGCAAGCACAATCATTGACAGGTTTCTGCCGTGGCTCCTTGCAGAGAAGAGAGAACAGCGGCTCGCCCATTCTAGCACCAGGTATCGTGGGTTATACCCCAGCAGCTAAGCAGCATCATTAAAGCAGACCAGGGGAATGCGCTTCTGTTCACTATGTGACCACACCTGCTCAGGTAAACTCCAGAGACCACCCGTGTTACCGTGGCATAGCACTGTCCCAGAGCCACGCAGCGAAGCTGCGCCGCACACCACGACCACAGCCGCCCAGCTGCTTGCGGAGCCCAGGCTGGCGCGGCTGCCCCCCGGACGTCCACCCACCCCTCCCCACCC